AAAAAATTATAGCTATACACATGAAGTAGTGAGTAGTGTTACAAAGTTTCCTCACAATGTGGAAAGACTAATTTCATTAACATCTAGCACCTCAAATATTTAACCTTTCTGTCATGACATCAGAAATGTACTGTTTTAACAATTCTAAAAGGAACAGAACTCAATTATTAGCTGTACTCACCGTATTGGTTTTAAAAATCAAACTTATTTCTCCCTGCCTAAGGCTTTGTAGCCTTTCGCCCCCCTCTTAGCGTTTCTACCTCTCAGACCCTCAGAACCACTGTTCTGTTCTCCACTTCTGTGGGTACAATTGCTTTAGATTCTGCATGTGAGAACGTGGTTTGTCCTTCTGTGTCTGACTCACGTCACTTGTTCTCAAACTTCATCCATGTTGTTGCAAATGGCAGAATTGATTCAAGGCTCAGGAGTATTCTGTGGTGTGAAAATACCACATTTTCTTCATCCATCCACCCCTTGATGGACACAGGTTGACTCTATGACGTGTCTGCTGTGAACAGTGCTGCACAAGGAGAGAGGGTATCTCTTCAACACACGGAGTCTTTAAGGCTTTCAAGTCCACACCCAGAAGCAGGACTGCTGGGTCACATGGGAATTCTTTCAGTTTCTTAAGGAACCTCCAGACTGTTTTCCCTAAATGTTATACTAATTTGCATTCCCAGCAGTATCCAAGAGGTCCCCCTTTTCCACATCCCCGCCAACATTAATCTTTTGGTCTTTTTGACAGCTGTCCTTCTAACCTGTATAAGGTTTTAATTTGCACCACAGAGAGACCTCTCAAATGCCTTGGCATGTTCTTCAGGCTGGTAAGGATCTCAACAAGTAGTCATGCTTCTTCTCTCCCACCTGGTACAAAGAGGCATGAACTATTTTCACTGGAATTCCTTTCTGCTGATTTATACCTAACATCACAGTGGACCCCTTTTCACTTTCTTTTTAATTGTCAGAGGGCACATGAATTCAACAGAGAGAGAGGGAGGAAGCACCCCTCGATGGGTATACTCACGCCACAATTCTTCCTTTCCCTCTTCTCTATCCTTGTGGAATGTTGGGCATGCACGCACATATACCCAGCTTGTTATTTAAGCTACTGGGACTGAGACCCAAACTGTGGTCAGCCATGTGGGACCTAGCTCCCTTAAACACTAGACTACAGGGGTAGCTTTTCATTTTTATTTCTGGAAGAGCCACAGCAGATGGCATAACAGTTATATCATGGACTCCCATGTAGTGACTGCAGTTCAAGTCCTAGACCCAGAAACTTAAAACTCATGCCAAGCACGTGGGCATGCATGCCTGCCAAAATCCTGAAAGGAGAATGGAGAAGGGTTGCAGTGTGGCCATTCCCCATGGGGGATGATTTCTTGCTTTCTGCCTCTATCTCTCAGGTAAGCACGTGCACCCTATAGCAAAAATGTCTCTTTAAAAAAAAGGGTGGGGGGCAGCAGATGACATGGTGGCTAAGGACACTGGACTCCCATATGGTCAATCACGGTTCAAATTCCAGACCTAGTGGCTTCCTTTCGCACTTTTCTTCTCTCTCTCTGTCTCTCTCTCTGGTCAAATTGGAAAATAATAATAATAATAATAAATAAAATTAAAATAATTCTTTAAAAAGAAAAAAAAAAAAAAACTTGCGGCCAGCAGGTGGTGTGGTTCTTAAGGATGCTAGACTCCCACATGGCCAACCACAGTTTGAGTCCCAGACTAGGTGACTTGCTTTCTCACTCTATCTCTCTCACAGTGTCCCTCTCTGGTCAAATTAAAATAAATAAAGTTAAATAAATAATTTAAAAAAAAAAAAAAAAAATAATAAACATCATCTTATTTTACAACCTAGCAATCATGCTCCTTGATATTTACCCAAGAGTGGAGAACTAGGCCAGCAAGTGGTGTGGTGGTAACGGCAGGCATAACCCACACGGCGCCCCGCACCATTCAAACCCAAACACCATTCAACTCCAGACCTAGTGGCTTGGGAAACACGCTGGATGTGCATACATGCATGCCCAAAATCCCGAGAGGAAAATGGAGAAGAGACTGAGGCACGGCCATTTCCCCTAGAGGGTGACTGCTCACTCCCTGCACCTCCATCTTCCTGTCTCTGATGAGAGCACTCACCTGATAGCAAACTTTAATAGAAAAAAAAAAAATAGCTGAAAAGTTAAAGCGACACCAAAAAACCTACACACAAATGATTATTGTGGCTTTATTCATAATTAGTAAATTCAGACACAACCAAAAAGCCCTTCGATAGGTGAAGAGATGAAAGGTTATGGTATATTCAGACAACAGATTTTTCAGCACTAAAAAGAAATAAGCTATCACATCATGAAAAGACACAGAGGAGATTTAAATGCTTATTACCAAGTAAAAGACATTCTAGGGCTGGCCCCACAGCCTAGTCATTAAGGAAGCCAGATCCCACATGGCCAAGAGCAGTTATAGCCCCAGCCCCAGAAGCTTTAAAAACAAGACAGATACCCAAAATCCAGACAAGATCTTTCTCTCTGCCTCTGGTGTATACATGTACGCCTAATCTGCTGGCAATTAAAAAAAATCTAAAAGGTCACATACAATGATTCTAATTATATGGCATTCTGAAAACGGAAGATCAGTGATTGCTATAGGGTAGGGGCAAGAGAAAGGGACAAACAGCTGAAACACGAAGGATTTTTAGGACAGTGAAAATACCCCATATGGTACTATACTGGTGAATACATGCCATTAAACATTCGTCCAAACCCACAGAATGTACACCAAGACTGAACCAATGTAAACAACGGACTTCGGGTCGTAAGACGGCAATGTAGCTCATTAGCTGCAGCAAAGGCACACTCTGGTAGGAGATGGAGATGTCAACATTAGGGACAGTAATGCATGTGTGGTGTGGGGGAGGAGGCATATGGAAATCTCACCTCTCTCATTTTTAGGGTGAACCTAAAACTGATCTAAAAAAAAAAAAAAAAAAAAATTTTCCTAAAAGAAAAAAAAAAAAAAAAAAACCTACATATAAACACACAAAGAGTTCCTAACCTAGGAAGCTCATAGTCTCTCATTCTGCACGCACATAAACAAGAACGGATCATACAACCAGTAACCCTGACCCATTTGGCTGCAGGCCACCCCTCCCTTCAACAGCTCCCTTCTTTTCAATGACCACAGTGGGTGTGGTACATTTAAATCTCCCTTTCCTTCAGTGCCCCGAAGACTGAGCTTCAAGCCCAGGGCTCTTTTCCTGCTACACTGTAGCCAACACGAGGCCTAAGTCAGTGGGATATCAGTGGTGTTTCTGATCTATTACAGTTTTGTGTTTTAGGATAAACAATGCAGAGATGCTTAGGACACTGCAATTCTTTGGTGACTATGTTTTCTACTGCTTTACTGTGTTTCTTGCATCTCGAGGCTTCTGTTGAAAAAGCATTCTAGAAACAGAATACTCTGCTTTGAATGCTCTGGTCAGAGGATTCAAAGAGGAAGTGGACAGGCGTCCTGAGAACTGAGCCACACTTTAACCTCTCTGAAGCCCAGATAGTTCTGTCAATCACACAGATAAGGCAATATCTTTACTTTTAGCCAATTAGACCAGATTCTTTGGGGCCTGTAATGAGTGAATTATTCTTTGTATCCCATTCCAATTGCTTCTGCTCTTTTTAACTAATGCGTACTGAATGACGGAGTGTGTTATTCCTTATCCAGCTATTTAAATAATAAAGAATGCACAGACCAAAGAACAGCGTAGAGCACTTTGCATTTATTACGTTTAACTGAACTTTTTAAAATTACACAAGTCAACTCCAAAATAAGGTAATAAATGCCTATTAAATTGTTATTCACTTGCATTTTTCTCTCCTAAATTTTTAACACAGCAAGACATCTTAAAGACACATGAATAGGTTCAGTGCACTTTCAGCGTGGCATCACAATCATGAGACAAAGATCACATTTATCTATAAAAATATAAGACAAGTAGCTCAATATTTTAAAATATTACAGACAAAAATAAAAGAAAAAATTAAATACTGCAATTTTCCCACATTTGGGTAGAATATTATTTAAAACAATGCTCCTCTGCAGAGCACACGCTGTGCTTGGTATTCTTGGCACATGAGCACTCCGTAACTGCTCGGCTTCCTCCTGCAGTTTCTCTAGAAGGACCCTTACAGGGGCCCACTTTCAAACCCTGGGCCTCTAATCCGCCTACTTCCACAGGGACTAGAATGGCAGAAGCCTGATCTTATGTTTGCTCTTAAGGCTTTTCCGGTCTTCCCCCATTTTCCTCCAGACTCACATTGTAGCTATCTCCATTCTCAGCGAAGATGCCTAAAACAAAACTTACACGGCTGGGCATTCTCCCACAGCTTTCACTCCAGAAGTTGCTCCCTGACTTACTAAATTAAGACCCCAATGTATAAAAAATGAATCTACCCACAAAAATCATTCTATTTTTATAGTCACAAGTATTATGATGCAAGACTGGTTAGTAATGTCTGATTTCGAAATTAAAAACATTCCAGGACCAGCAGGTGGCATAATGGTTATGTTGCTGGACTCCCACATAGTCAACCACGGTTTGAGTCCCCAGACCTGCAGCTTAAAACTCATGCCAGGCACATATGCGTGCGTGCCCAAAATCCTGAGAGGAGACTGGAGGAGAAGGGATTGCAGCATGGCCATTCCCCCCCGGAAGGAGTTATTTCTCAATTTCTGTCTCTCCATCTCTCTCAGTCTCTCTGGCAAGTGCACATACCCTATAGCAAAAACCTCTCTCTCCAAAAAAAAAAAAAAAAAAAAAAACATTTTTTAACATTCTATGATTTCTAGGCAGAATATATACTGCTCTGAAATTCTTTAAAGTCTCTCTTCCATTACTGTTGTTTTTAAAATCATAAAAATATAAAAATTATAAACATTCTGCTAAACATTTTAGTAGAAATCCTGTTACCTTTTTAATTTAGTGGGTTCCGAAAGAACAAAAGTGACACCATGTTCCACTTGGCAGACCCTAAATCATGCTCCCAGCCCTAAACCTACCACTTCGCATCTCCTACCATCAACAGCTCTGTGCCTGGCATGACTCTCCTGCCAACTGCTGCTAACACTCACCAACACCCTGTGCAACAAAGCAGGAGGAAGCTCTTTGTAATCTCTCCCCCCAGTAGCTGCCCATGTGCTTGCTAAGCATCTTCTACCCGTCATTCCACACACAACCAGCCTCAGTGATCATGCAAACACATGGAAGTAAGGACACAAAAAATCAGAGCACCTCCTTTGCTACATGCTGCATTCCTTCAGAACGTGAGAAGGCACTTCCTCTCTGTCTAAATGCAGAACCAGGTAAGAGGCAGGGGCTGCTGCTGACAGAGGTAGGAATAAAAAGGAAGCAGACGAGGCAGGCTACCAGTGTCCACCACACCCCTGGATCAGCACATTCCTTTCCTCATGATAGTGCTGGGACCCTGAGGACGGTTCTGATCCATTCACAGCAACCTATTATGCAGGAAATTCCAGTCACTGCTCTTGTAGCAAGGTCTTACTGTATGTTCTTGAAAGAATAAAATTAACAAGATATAACTTTTTTTAATGAGTAACTTAAAAATTAATCAAGAAAAAAATCCTTCCATTTTTTAGAGAAGACTACTCTAGACACAAATGATTAACGAGATCTATTAACTAGGGAATCCCCTTAGCATCTCTATCAACTATAATGAATGTGCTAACCTAAATTCCTGACCCAAGTGATAAATAGTACCAATTAGCCAGAGTATTAACTGCAATGACTTAGAACTGTATTTACCTGAATAGTCTCCATGGTGACGTGTCAGAAAATGCAAAATAATAAATATTTTCCACAGCACCATAAGGTTTTTATAAAATACTGTTTCAGTTAATGAAGTCTCGGGATTTTGGTCCATCATTCATATTTAGCTTAACCTCTTTTCCTGATAATAGTTCTGACCAAGGGCATATATAGGCACAACTATAACATTAAAATATTTTACTGAAGAACTTGAACAATACTCAAGTCATTGCTTTAGTTATATCCATTATATGGATCCAAAAGTCAGGGAAGATAGTTTTTTGCCATTTACAGTCACATCACAGATTTTATTTTGCCAACAGGACTTGACTTAAGAGGTAACTAAGATATGTCAACACTAAATAGTCCTTTTTCTGTTTGTTTGCTTTTTCCTTTTCTGTTTGCTTTGGTACTGTGCACTTCCTATGGGTTTTGTTACTATATGAGAATATTTTATAAATAACTCTGAGTTTTAAAAATAAAAATACAGTCATTCACTTTGAATTTTTAAATAAATGCAAGTGGAAAACAGATAAGTTTTAAAGCCAAATGATTTGGAATTATGTGCAATGAGTTATCTATTTAAAAAATATACCACAGATTGGATCCTCCAGTATCCAGCATGCTCATGGATCTCTTACAACTGCTAGAGTGTGCTATGCCAACTTAGTTCAACACTGGTCTAAGCAAAACACACTGGAAAGTATTCACGTGCCAACCAAAAACACACATAGTATTCTAAAGCCAGACATGAGTCAAGTTTAGGTTGATCAATTTCAGGTCTCTCTTCCATTAATGCAGAGAACTGAGAGTTGGTTTACTACAAGTGAGACAGCACTACAGTAAACTTGCTATAAAATTATTTATAACAAAATAAATATTTTCAGTCCCTCTACACTGAGTGATATATAAATCATTAGCAGTTTATAACATTAGCTTGGATCACTCTTTTGGGACCCAAACATACTGTACAATCCTGAGTAAAATGTTAGGGATATAGTTTCTTGGGATCTTTCTTGATCAGGAACCATAAAGAAAACACACAAACCACGACTTGTAATAATCCCTATTTTCAGTAGAAGTACCATGAGTTCTTTGTACTTTGGTAAGCAAGTTTAACTATGTAAACCATTTATCTTGATGGAGTAAAATCAAGGCGAGCTTCTGCTAGGATCCCTCCATCACCTTTTGACACTGATAGAGTAAATAGTCGGGAAGAGCAGAGCAGGGAGATCTGAACCACAGGGCTAACACGTCGGCGTGAACTCGGCAATGCAGCAAGCAGGGGACGGACGGGAGCAGCTGACAGGCCAACAGCCCTTCGTTACCTACACGGCAAATAAAAAATCATTTAATACGAAAGGACTCAAGAGACATTCCTCCAAGAAGATAAGTGAGTGGCCAATAAGCACGTGAAAAGAAGGTCAGCATCACTATCAATAGTGAAATGCAAATCGAAAGCACAATGAGGTGTTAGCTTCACACCAATTAGGATGGCTATTATCAAAAAAACAGAAAATAAAGTTTCCAGGGGCTGGGCAGGAAGGGACGTGGGGAAATAGTGTTTCATCGGCACAGAGTATCAGATGAGAAAGACAAAAACAACCTAGAAACAGATGATACTGACGGTCGTGCAGTAATGTGAATATACACGTACCATGGAACTGTACATTTAAAAGTGATCAAGAGAGTAAATTTTATGTCCTGTGTGTATGTGTGTTTTCCAAGAGAAAATTTTTTAAGCTAGTCTAAAAACACTCATTGAAAGAAACTTGTAATAGAAGACACAGCTCTAAGAAATCTGACATTTGTTACAAGTTGATTTGCGTTCCGCTGTGAGAAAGTTCCTGGAAACACAGGATTGCGTGTTCGTAATTCTACAAACCTATAATGTCGATAATATGAAGTCTCAGGTTCTGTTGCAGGGTCTTCAGGGCAGAAGGCAGAGCAGCTTGAGATTCTGACAGTTTTACATTTTGCTTCACATCATTTGCAAAGGATAACCACAGTTTGCCGAAGACTTCAGTTGAGATTTTTAATGGCCTGAAAATAATTTTTAAAATTAGATTTATGTCCAAAAAAAGAAACAATTCTAAACAAATATATTTCAAATAACTCATGAAAATAAAATACAATCATTATTAATGTGGGTCGAACACAATTTTTATTTTGTTAGGTTTTTTGCTATAGGGTGTGTACATTCTCCAGAGGAAGACAGAGACAGTGAGAGGGAAAGTGAGAAATCAACCCCTAGGGGTGATGGCCAGGCCACAATCCCTTCTCCTCCATTCCCCTGTTGGGATTTTGGGCATGCGTGTATATGCACCTGGCATAATTTTCAGGCCGCCAGGTTTTAAACCAAAGAGAATCAGAATGTTTAGTATCATCCTCTAACCTGAAAACTAAAAGCAAGAGGTATAATTAAATTGTAAATGTCTTTTCAATAAACCACTCTATTAGTTTTCTATTAGTCATTCAAATGGGATTTTTACCTAGTAATTTCATGAATCACTCAAATATAAGACTTTTCTTTCATGTATATTTGGGTTTGAGGATAATGAGACATTCCATTAAACTTACATAAAAGAATGTGACTTCAAAGATCCAGAACCTAAATAAATTAGACCAAGATAAAGAATTGTAACAAATATACTTTTTAAATGATTCATGAGGCCCAGGCACAGAGGTACACAAACCTGCTCCCCTTCGGAAGGCTGGAAGCTACATGGGAGGCAAAGGTTCAGTTCCGAGGCCAACCTGCGCACTCTGTGTCCTTACAAATGCCTGTACTGCTGGTTAACTGGAAGGCTATGGCAGTAGGATCACAACACTGCAAGACAGTCAAAATTACCTATTTCTGTCTGTCTCTTTCTCTCTTTCCTTCTCTTATACAGAAAAAAAAACAAGATTCATGAAACTAAAAATCAAATAGTTAGAACTTGGTATCTCTGGGGATGGTGTTATGGGAAGTTTTTATATTTATGTCCTATAGCATTTGTATTTTTATAAGTATGTATTATATATAATCAAGACTTAATTTTAAGAAGATACAGAGGATTTTATTAACATGTGCAGAACTGTTATACATGTCATACATCTTTTTTTTTTTTTGGAGAGGTTTTTGCTATAAGGTGCGTGCACTCGCCAGAGACAGAGAGACAGAAAGCGAGAAATCACCCCCCAGGGGGGGTGTCCACGCTGCAATCCCTTCTCCTCCATTCTCCTCTTGGGATCTTGGCATGCATGCACACACACCCAGGGTGAGTTTAAGCTACCAGGTCTGGGACTCGAACTGTGGTCAACTACATGGGAATCCAGCAACATAGCCATTACACTAACTGCCGGTCCCTACATGTTATACATCTTCAGATTACTAATGCTCATCATGGGATAAACCACCACAGTCACAGATTAGGTTCTTTGAAGTTTGGATTTTATTTTATACAGCACCACAAACAGAAATCTGCCTCAGATTAACAGGTATGTTCTTACTAAAAGATTTTAAAGAGAGGGCAGTAATTACAGCATGTAACGCAAGTGACTGTGGAGGTGAAAAAAACCTGAAAGATATTCACTGGTATTCTGCATTCTTGATTCAGGCAGCCTTTTGGTTTAAAAACTGCTCAAACACATATTGAGGGGTGCTTTCTCTCTGTCTCTAGAAAGCACAGGCAATTTTAAAAAAAGCTCAAATACAGTACATTCATAAAACTAAATGCAAGCAGAAAAGAATGAAGAGACTGTTTTCAATTATTTTGTTAACACTGCACAGTGCCTACTACAATGCTAAAAACTTACTGTGTTTAATGAAAGATTAATAACTAGGTTGGAGTAATTTTCTTCCAGTCTCCAAAGCTTAACAAAAAAAATTTTCATGGAAGATTAATCAACTGAATGAGATACAAATGGGAGAAACTTTAAACACGTTTAAAAAGACATCTTGGCCTAGCCTGGTAGCACAGTGAGTAGTGAACTAAATTGCAGTGCTATCAATAGAAGCCACATGCTGACCCTGGGTTTGGATCCCTGGGTCAGCTTGAAAACACACCAGGAACATATGTTCATACCCGAAATACACAGGAGCTGGAGGGCTGGGGAAAGGGAGTCACGGCATGACTAGACCATTTGACTGTGCTTCTTTCTCTCTCCCTCTCATGCATCTACACATCCCCTGTATCACATGTAAAAATTAAAAATTTAAAAAGTCATGCAGGGGCCAGCAGGTGGCATGGTGGTTAAGGTGCCAGATCCAACATGACCAAGTGCACAGTTCAAGTCCTGGACCCAGTGGCTTGAAAATCACAGTGGGCATGTTTGCATGCATGCTCAAAATCCTGAGAGGAGAACGGATCAGGGATTGTGGTGCTGCTATCTTCCCTGAGGGGTGATTCCTCACTTCCTCTCTCAAGTGAGTGCATGCATCCTATAACATACACACAAAAAAGAAGCCATACAGAATCTCTGAAGTCATTTCACTGTAAACTGTATTTTCTCTCAGAAGTTTTTGAGATCACTTTCCAACCCAACTTAAATCAGGTGTCATATTATAATTTCCTGGTACCATTTATTTTCTTGTAGCACATACTTATATTTATATTTATGTGAATATTCAACCTCTCCTTCCTGGCCTGGAAGCACCCTGTGGGGACTGCGTCCAGTCTCTGTATACTCTCTAGTACCTCGCATAGTGCTTCTGTCCAGAGAAAGAGGCCTAATGAATATTTGCTAAATTAATAAAATGAATTAACATTCCAGAAAATACTTACCTGATGAAATCTAAAAGTGATAAGTTTACAGAAAATTCCAGCTGAACAGAATGAGTATCCATCATCTGGTATTTTATAACACCAGAGAGACTTCCTTCTGTACAAGGCTTCTCCATCTGGACACTGTAATGAAAGTTTTTGGTGCCTTCTGCTTCCACTGCAGGCAAACAGCATCCAGGCTGCTCAGTGATCTGTAAGTAAAGTAGTAGAAGCACTGACGAAGGGGTCAATGCAGACTGTGATAGGAATACCAATTTTCTATCTAACTGACTTTTACACCAGTAAAAGCATACAAATGTGGGAAGTTAACAACAAACCACAACATGAAGATGACTGATACCGTCATTTGAAAAATTCACTAGCATGATAATTAAGAAATAATAGTACACAAATCAAACTTAAGTAAAGATGGTGTTACAGATCTGTCTGTAGTAAAAAGATTATTAAACTCCAGTCTGGTGGCCCTCAATCCTGACTAACACCACATTTTTAAAGCTAGACAAGTTTTTAAAATGATAATAATACAGGTTTCTTCCATTTTCATTCTCTACCCTTATTCTAACTCGGGTGGTAGAGTTCAGGCAACTAGATTGTTTTTGTTTTAAGTTCCACAAGTGATTCTTTTTTATAATAATTATTTAATTTATTTTATTATTATTATTTTTTTAATTTGACCAGAGAGGAAGAGAAGGAAAGTGAGAAAGCAAGTCACTAGGTCCAGGACTCGAACCACAGCCATGTGGGAGTCAAGCACCTTAACCACCATACCACCGGCTGGCCCTCCACAGGTGACTCTTTTTTTAGAGACAGATTTTTGCTTTAGGGCACTTGCGCTTGCCAGAGAGACAGACAGAGACAGAGAGACAGAAAGAAAGAAACCACCTCCCAGGGGGGATAATCATGCCACAACCCCTTCTCTTCCATTCTCCTCTCGGGATCTTAGGCATGTACACACATGCACTCAGTGTGAGTTTTAAGCTGCTGGGTCCAGGACTTGAACCGTGGTTGACTACATGGGAGTCCAGTGACGTAACCATCACACCATCTGCTGGTGATTCTAATGCACACCTAGAGTTACTGTCCTGGTCAGTGACCCAGACAACAATCTCATTCAACAAATCCTAGAGCACAGAAAAAACTGGGCCCATTTTGTTGGAAAATGAATATACTAGTCAAGTCTCATCATAATTCTACCAAGGACATTAACACAATAACATAATTAAACACACTTCCAGAAATCACTGTACCAGTCTATTGGAGCTAGGGAAGAAAGAGAACTGCCTAAGCACTCAGTATAGAATTATAAATCAGTAAGAGAAAGAAAGAGTGAACAGTATACACAACTTATCTTCAATATATTCTGCTTCTTGATATTCCACTGTTTTGTTACATTTGAAAATTTCATTTCAGCTTTGACAACAATAAATGAGGTATTTAATGAGTACAGGAAAAAACACAAATTACAGACTGAAAATAATAACGCCATTAACAGCATGTGCCATGTACTACTATAAGCATTTTACAGACGTTAACTCATTTAATCCTAGAACAGGCACGCAATATTAATATTCTCACGTTAAACATGTGGAAACTGAACCACAGAGCAGTTAAGCAACGTGACCTTGTAACACAGCTAATTTGCAGAGCAAGATTCAACGCTAAGCCGTCTAAGTCAAGATCCTACATTCTGGGGCCGGCAGGTGGCATGGTGGTTAAAGGCACTGGACTCCCATATGGTCGACCACAGTTTATGTCCTGAATCTGGTGGCTGGCTTGCTCGCTCGCTCTCTCTCTCTCTCTCTCTGCCTGATCAAACTGGAAAATAATAATAAAAAATAAAGTTAAATAAATAAATTCTTAAACAGAAAAATAAAAGAACCTACATTCTTTACTGTACTCCACTGAAACTCACTTTATACTGATGGCCTTTCCCAACACAATCTTAATCACACTTCGTCTCTGTTGAGTTAATTCATCCCTACTGAAAATAATTGCTTAAATTGGTGCACCTTTTATCTGTATCTGTTTTTCTGAAGACTTAAGAATGAGAGAAATTTCTAAACCATCAGAAGAACCCACTGTAGAAACACTAAGTAAGAAATGTCCATTTGAGGCAGAAATTATAAACCATTCTTTGTCTTACCTTGAAATTTTCTTCAGGAAGAATTTCTATGTTAGAACTTTTCAATTCTGAACCATTCTTATTAGCAACCGACCAGACCATCAGTAAACAATCATCCCTCCAAATTTTATAAGAAGACACTGATATGGTTTCATCACTACAGACTTCCACGCAATCTGAATGCATGTATTCAGTAGTTTCTCCCAACAACGAAGAAGCTAAAGAGATTTCTTCGGCAACTGAGGCTACAGTAGATAGAGGAGGATGAAAAATTTCCATGTTGTCATCAGCAAACAAAGATGACGCAGATAGCCTGCAATTTGAAAGTTTCTCAACTAAGGGGAGTTCTGGGAGTGACTCGGAATCCAAAAGTTCTGAATTCAGAGAGAGCTGCTTTAATTCTTTGTCTCCTTTATCCTGCAAAGTATTCAAATAATAATCTTCTTCATATGCCGCATTTGACAAAGAACTAAAGGAAGAACAGGTCATATTATGAGCGCTGGTTGCCTCTCCACTTTTGCTTTCCTTGACCTTTGATTTCCGCCTGAACTTGTGAGAGACAGTATCTGCTTTCCCCAGCTGCAAGAATAAAACAATAATAACATAAAGAGAGACCCATTCTACCAGTCATAAATTTAAACATCTTCTAAAATTTCAAATGGACAATTTATAAACTTGCTAAGGCTCTGTCTATAAAGCACTGATTGACAAAGAATCAGAGAGGAATATGCTAAACCCTAAAATTCTGACAGCTACATAACAGAGCTATTAGCTAAAGTTTTCTGTCATTAACTACACATAAAAGTTAAAAAAAAAATCAAACACTGGATCATAATGTCAGTTAACAATTCAAAAAGCTTGTTAGTCAGAATACTTGGTTGTAGAACTGGGTGAATTAGAAAGAGTGAGAAGCCTGGCCATTTTTTTGCATTTCCAGAGTTGTCCTATACAAGCATTAAGTTATCCCCAAATACAAGGATGACCCTTTTAGCAAAATATAATAATTATGATTTTATGGCCTGTAAGTCAGTAAGCAGGGATAGGAAAGTTATATCTCAAGAATCAACTGGCAGTGTCTGACAGGAACACTCAGCAGGCAAGAATTCTGTAAGACTAATGATGTTTGTCAGACTCAGGAGACAGGAACGGCACATCTGTCATCCTTGATCTACACCTTCTAAGGAATGCTCTGCAAATCTGTGTAAGAAGAGTGATCGTTCAAGTGTTCTGCTCACAAAGTTCTATCTAGAATCAGTGCAGCAGACCAGCACTATTCTAAGTCCATGTCTCCATCCTGCTGGGGGCTATAAGACTATTCTACTAGTCATAAATTTAAACATCTTCTAAAATTTCAAATGGACAATTTACAAACTCGCTAAGGTTCTGTCTATAAAGCATTGACTGACGATGTGAAGGTGGCCACGTGGTGGGGGCTATAAGACCACGCGGCCACCTTCACATCATTCCAGTTAGCCAGAATGCTACTACAGTTCCCTTATACCTCCTCCATTCCCCTCAAACCTCAACAACACCTTTTTCCAGCTCTCAGCAGATGAGTTTGTCTTAGACTCCCCCATTCAAGGCATCAAAGAACATGCCTTTATCAAAGCAAACCCTGGTACCCTCTCACCACAGCTTGCTGGGACAACTCAAAGACCCAAGGTCTGCTGAGCTGCAAACGTCGACTGAGACAACATTATGATACATTCGTTATCAGTACTTTTAGGCTGAATGTATTTGTTTTTTTCTTTTCTTTTTTTTTGATAGGTTTTTGCTAAAGGGCACGTGCGCTCGCCAGAGAGATAGAGACAGAGAGATAGAAAGCGAGAAATCACCCCCCCCAGGGGGGATGGCCATGCCACAATCCAAGAAATCAACCCCAGGGGAATGGCCATGCTGTAATCCCTTCTCCTCCATTCTCCTCTCGGGATCTTGGGCACGCACACATGCACATGCGCCTGGTGTGAGTTTAAGCCACCAGGTCCAGGACTCGAACCGTGGTCGGCTACATGGGAGTTCAGCGACATAGCCATTACGCTAACTGCTGATCCATGTATTTGTTTTTTCTTAAGGGAATATCAACTTCTAACATAAATGGGATCTAGATGAGTGAGTCTAGAAAAGAAAGACACAGGCTAGGAGTGCACATGTATACCATCTGGCCCATGTTGACGAGAATGCAGAGAACATTCCACCAAGAGAGGAGAACCAGGATGCTGTTCCCATCACAATTTTGTACCAGGTGGGTTCCTTGGCCCACCATGGTGTTGGCAGATGCTCAGAAACAGCACCTGTCCTTCACTCCACCATTCTTTGACTCTGAGACTAATACGTGGGCATACAAAGTTTTAAAAAACATTATAATCTTAGTATCTGCATATATTTATCATTGTTACATAATTCCTTTCCATTTCAGTTTTAAACAAGGTGTTTAAAACTAAAACTTTATGGGGACCATCGGTTGGCATAATGGCTATGTCGCTGACCTCCCATGTAGTCAACCGCAGTTCAAGTCCCAGACCCAGTGGCTTAAACTCATGTAGGGCGCGTGTGCGTGCATGCCTAAAATCTCGAGGGGAGAATGGGGGAGCAGGGATTGCAGTGTAGCCATCACCCCTGGGGGGTGATTTCTCACTTTCTGTCTCTCTGTGTTTCTCTTTCTGGCGAGCGCACAGGCCCTATAGCAAAAAACCTCTCCAAAAAAAAAAAAAAAAAAACTAAAACTTTATGCTCTGCATTTTTGTTTAATATAGCTTAAGTATTTTTAATCTTACAAATGCAATGCTAATCATTTTTAGTGGCTGAATAATATTGCAAGAACATACTATATGTGGCCATTCTCCTCTGAGTGAGATATCTAAATTGAATCCTATCCTTCACAGTTAAAAATGCCATTTTGAGAGCCGACTCTGGTACAGGAGGAATGTGTTGCTCACACAATGCTGTATTCATATAGAAGAGGTTATGGGTTCAGTTCCCTGGCTGACCTGTACACACTGGGAACATACTCTCAGGATCCTGGCTGGTTGGCAAGGCAGGCAGGCTGAAGGGGAGGAGCTCAGTGTGAGACCCTGTTGAGGGTGCTTGTCTTACTCTCTCTCATGAAAGAAAGTCAGTCTAAAAATGACAAGATGTACCTCGTCCACACACCTATCAACACTGGTGAACTACTCTTATTCAGCCTGCTTCCCTTTGAGAACTATCCCATGCACCCGCCTGGGTAAGAGTGCCCATGGACTTCCTTGTGACTTCATTTGGACCCTGCCCCTTAGCCTCGCTGACTGGACTGAAGAGAACACCTGCCTCAAGCTCAGCCAACTGGATGTTCTCTCAGAAATATAAAAGGTGTGTTACGGGTGGCTCTGGGTCTGGGCAGGGATGGAGACCGAGAGCTGGGGAAGCCATTTCCCGCTGCATGTACAGATGACAGCCAGGAGCTTTTATGAAGCCTTTTGTACAAAGGCGAGATGCAGATTCTTAGAAGAATGAAGGTGAAAACTTACCAAACTGATTGTACTTTCTGATCCTAGCCCAACAAATAACGATGATGCCAGCAGCTGCTTTTCCTTCTCCTCTTTTGACTGGGTAAGGACTTGAGATTGATCCTTTTTTGTTACAGCTTGATCTGCATTCTCTGGTATTATGCTCTCTTGAGCAACAGGTGAAGCTTCAGTTTCATCACTAGTTTTGCTTTCCTTTTTGGGAAGATAGCCCTCTTTCCCCCACAATTTCTTTATGCCATCCAGCTTCAAGCTATTTGTCCTAATGAGATTGACAATGAAATCAAGTCAATTTAAATGCTTGCTTAAGAGTTTTTTTGAGGCTTCTTTTATTTTTATTTTTTCTTCAGAACACGTCAAAGCCCATGGCCTTTTTTTTTTTTAAAGAGATTTTTGATACAGAGTACATGTACTTGTCAGAGAAACAGAGAGACAGACAGACAGAAAGCAAGAAATCACCCCTGGGGGGGATGGTCATATTGCATTCCCTTCACCTCCATTCTCCTCTCAGGATTTTGGGCATGAATGCACACACATAGGCCCAGTACGAGTTTCAGTATGCCAGGTCTGGGACTTGAACTGCGGTCAACCGTATGGGAGTCCAGCATCTTAACCACTGTCCCCCCAAGGCCTTTTAGAAACAGCTTTCATGTTATAGTCTACAATCCAGAAATAAAACCTCAATCCCAGCTTTTTATTGAAAGTTAATATCTTATCCACCAGCCAAAGGATTTAAGCCAGAACTCTAGACTTACTTAAAATTTTCAGATCATTTCATTTTTATTTCATAGCTTGGATATGTTATGAATCTATAAATCATTTTCTTTCATTCTGAAAATTCAAAAATACCTTATCTTTAATTCCGATGAACTGGGAGCTCACAGGTGGTGTATGGTTGAGGTGCTGGACTCTCACATGGCTGACTATGGTTCAAGTCCTAGACCTGGCAGCTTAGTTTCTCACTTTCTCTCTCTCTCTCTCTCTCTGTTTTTCTCTCTGCTGAGTTGAACATGCCCCATAGTAAATTTAAAATAATGATAATAATAAATACAATTAAATATTTAAAAAACAAAAAATAATTTCAATGGGTTAAAGATCAGAAATGACTTTTAAATGTCTTAGCTATAAGAAGAGACTAAATCTACACATATCTACCACATGAAATTCTGTTGAAAGCAAAAAAAATCAAATGCAATGCTCTGTCGAAATTTATTTTTAATACAAAAGGTTTCTTAATATGAACACTAGTTACATTTTCAACTATTATAAATGTACTTTTATAAAAACAAAATGAAAAAAAATGGGGTTTTGTCTATAAAACAATGATTTTGGGCAAAAGCATGAGGCTTAAGAATGTTTTATACCTGAGATATAGAAATAAGTAATGATTAAAAACCAGGTGTCCTGCTCAAAAACCTAAGCAAGGCATCTAGGCAAAAAGTCTAGGGCTAAATTTAGAAAGTAGATCACCTGGGACCAGCAGGTAGCATGGTAGTTAAGGTGATGGACTCCCACATGGTCGACCACAGTTTGAGACCAGGACCTGGTCTCACTTTCCTTCTCTCTTTTCCTTCTCTCTTTCCTTCTCTCTTTCTTTTTCCTTCTTTCTCACTTTCCTTCTCTCTCTCTCTCTCTCTCTCTCTCTCTCTCTCTCTCTCTCTCTGGTGAGCATGCATGCTCCATAGAAAATTAAAAATAAAAATAATAATGATTAATAAAATTAAATAAGGCTTTAAAAAAAAAGAAAATGAATTACCTAATACTATCTCAAAAATTATACTCTGAATCTTGGGACCAGCAGTTAGCATAATGACTATGTCACTGGACTCCCATGTAGTCAACCGCAGTTCGAGGCCTGGACCCGGCAGCTTAAACTCACACCAGGCACATGTGTGTGCATTCCCAAGATCCCGAGAGGAGAATGGAGGAGAAGGGATTGCGGTGTGGCCATCCTCCCCTGGGGGGTGATTTCTCGCTTTCTACCTCTGTCTGTCTCTGTCTGTCTCTGTCTTTCTGGTGAGCGCACACACCCTAGAGCAAGAACCTCTCCAAAAAAAAAAGTATACCCTGAATCTTGAGGGATTAATACAGTCAGTCATAAGCACAAGCTGAAACAAAGATTGTCTCTATTCTCATAAGAACTATGTGTTCACTAGTCTTATTGTGGTAATCAAAAAAATCAAGTCATACACCTTAAATATATATGATTTTTATTTACCAATCATACCTCAATAAAACTGGAGGGGGAAAGAACCACATATCCTAATACTTGCCTCATTTAAGCCTCCTGTCATGTTCCAAAATAGCATTTTTAAAATTCATACTACACGATAGGTAGGTCATGAAATGAATCTAAAAGGAAGACTTAGTACTTAATACATACTGATTATTAGTCCTTCATAATTTGTTGGACTCATAATCAATTTGGCTTTGAAGCCAAAAACAAAAACAAAAAGTCGTTATACTTCAGGGCCAGCAGGTGGCTTGGTGGATGGGTACTGGACTCCCACATGGCCAACCCTGATTTGAGTCCCAGATCTGGCAGCTTGCTTTGTGACTTTCCCTCTTTGTCTCTCTCTGGTGAATTAAAAAATAATGATAATAAATAGAATTAAATAATTTTTTTAAAAGTATTTATACTTGAAACTATGTGAAAAATTAATGCTATTAAGTAATAGTGGCTGGGGGCCAGTAGGTGGCGAGGTGGCTAAGGTGCTAGACTCTCACATGGCCAATGTGGTTCAAGTCTCAGACCTAATGGCTTGCTTTCTCACTTTTCATCTCTCTCTCTTTCTGTCTCTGATAAGTACACGTGCCCTGTAACAAAATAAAGAAAAATAATAATAGGGACCAGCAGTTAGTGTAGTGGTTATGTCACTGGACTCCCATGTAGCCAACCACAGTTCAAGTCCCGGACCCAGTGGCTTGAACTCATGCCCGGCACATGTGCGTACGTGTCCAAGATCCCGAGAGGAGAATGGAGGAGAAGGGATTATAGCGTAGCCATCCCCCTAGGGGGCTGATTTCTCACTTTCTGTCTCCCTGTCTCTCTCTGTCTTTTTGGCAAGTGTATGCACCCTGTAGCAAAAACCTCTCAAATATATAAATAAATAAATAAAATAACGACAAAATAACCATCTTGAGAATGCTCAAAAGCATCTCTGGGGGATTTATGAGCATCTGTAGATATAGATACAATATATCTACGCCCACTTTAACCAAAAAGAATCGGCCCCCAAATTTTACTAATAAATGGCTCAAATAGTAGTTTTAACAAAAAAGGCAGTTGTAGTAGACCCCAGACTGCTCCATCCAGATCCCCCTTCATTGAAGGGCAGTCACTCAGGTGTCAGGAAGGCTGTCATCTCTCAGCCCCTTCAGGGAGGACCTCAGCTGTAGAGGCCGCCTCACCAAGATTACGCCCCTTAAGGTACAGGCCACATCCAATGACTGATGAACAGAAGTACAGAATCCTAGCCTCCCATCTTAGCCCAACCAAGGACAATTCTGGACCTGACTTTTTCTAAACACAAGTCATCTTTACCTGGACTTTGACAACACTATTAATATAACATAGGTTTTAAGTATCCTTTGTTGGGGACCAGCAGGTGGCATAGTGGTTGAGGCGCTGGACACGCCCACATGGCCAACCATGGTTCAAGTCCCAGACCTGGTGGCTTGCTTTCTCACTTCCTCTGT